ATATATATATATATAATTTCCTGTTTTAACTGTAAATTCTCTAGAAATAAATAATAGTTTTTGCAGACCAATATCGGTAAAACAAAAAAGCCAAGTTTTCCCCAAAACCCAATGTATGAATTTCTTTGCCCTCTTTAGCAATGACAAAGTTGTGCCAAAAAACAGGCCCAGAGGTGAAATGTAAAAATTGCTCTAGTCCATAAGGAGTACACAGGTACGAGAGCTGAAGTGGTAAAAATGTATAACCTTTAGAAATCTCAAACTTCCTTCTCATCTGCAGAAGCCTTCCAAATCCTCCTGTCACAGCTCAATCCCAGGCGCTTCTGATAGGCAAAGTTTAGTCACCTTTGGGTAGTGTTGGGGCTTGCTGGCTGCACAGATATTCCGTTTGGCCCATCACTATGAAAGGTAGCCTTACAGGCCGAGAAGAATGTGCATGAAGCAGGAAGGGGAGGGCAAGCTTCAGTACTATCAAGACATACCAAAGCTTTTGCCTGTCAAAACAGCCATGATTTTACAGCGGCAGAAGAGTTTGGGTGGTTTACATTCTTGTTAGATTCTCTATAGGTGCTTGGATGTGTGTTCACAAACCTTGAAAATGAACTTGGGGACACTGAAAAGAAGGGTGCTCTTGTTATGAAGATCTCAACCTACCCTAATTGTGCCTCCCTGTTAGCCAATAAAGATTATGAACCAGTACGTGGCCGTGGGAGGTGACAGCGCTGAGTTATTGACCACAGCAGATGGTCACTAGTTGTATATAAAGCTCCCCAAGCTTTGGAGCTGTTATGGTGATGTACACAATATATCTGTAGACTTGCAGTGTCTACTATTTATTATTGCTGCCTAATGTATTGTGTGCATCTCTTCAGATCCTTCCTATGTACCTCCCTAGATCTCTGTTCTATTGCATTTCCCTACCTTCCTGTACTTCTAGCGGAGAAGTGGCATGCATGTTTTTTCAGCCATGGATTTAGTTGCTGGCACTGGTGTGCTTTTCTGTGAGATCCCGGCTAAGTTGTGCTTGAATTCTTTCCACATCAGGGCTGGCAGTGTGCCATTCTTGGATGCACATGCAAGGTCACAGTGCAGTGGAAAGTGGTGTCATTTATTTCCCCACACATCAGTTTAAATGTGACTCGGCTCCAGCTATAATTCCTATTGGTGAGTGTTACTATGAAGACTGCAGTAGGGTAGAGGGTAGAGACATGATGTGTGTTGCTGTTCCCCCATCTAATTATTTCTGTAGTTCTGTCTTATGTTCTTCTGTTTTTGGTATGAGGACTGTTCTAGTAACCTTGTTCTTTATCACCCCGCTAGTTCTTTATCGGGTCGGAGCACTTCTGGCTCCTGTTTTTGTAGCCTCATTTTGGTTTTCTAACACCACTGACTCCAGTGAAAGGGGCTATTTTCTACTGATTTACTAATGTACTGGGGCATTTCTCCATTGACCACCAGTTGCTTATCATTGTACTGTACTCAGAGCTGTCAATATAATAATGTTTAGGTCTTGAAGAACTCCCAGCTAACAACCAATTTCATTGGATCCTCCAGGGTGGGGAAAGGCCTGAGGTAAGAGGGGGCTACAGCAACTGGCAGTAGGTTGACTGGTCTAAACATAGAGGAGGTCATAGGCTGACAGCACACCATGGATCCATTATCAATAGTTCAAATGTTTATATAAAGCGAGCACATCACAATAAGTGCAGGTGAAAGTTTCAAGGCCACGCAGTACCTCTTCATCAGGCATGGTGTGCTGGCACCATAAGTTCTTGCCCATTTTAAAGAAGGCCAGGAATTTTTTTAAATTAACCCTTGCAGTGAGTTAACCCCCGACACTACAAGGGTTAAGTGCTTGTTTGATGGCAAGGTATAAATGCCTGTTTAGTGTAGAGGAAGATTAAATTGGAGGTATTCCAAACTCTCCTTCGCTCCCACTATGTTAATGGACCGTCACAGTTCTCACGTTGGGCCTACATTGTAAGTGTTGAAGTAGGAGCAACAACACTACCAGCAAAGAGGAGCAGCCTGTGGTACCAGATGTATAACAGGCAGAACCCAGGAATAAGGCAAGTATTGCTCTGTTTTTAACCCTCCCCTAGACTAAACAAGCATTTAAACCTTGCTATCCAAGCACTATTTTTTTGTTTATGGCTGACTAGAGTTCATCTTGGAATATGTAGTATCTAGGTAGGGCAAACCAGTATGCAGCCAGTGAAGTCTAGAAACCCTCCACCCATGCTTGTCCCAGGGCAGTGCATGACAAGCCCAGGGCCTGCACCTTATTAAAACAACTATGGCAATTTCCAGATATCTGATCTGACAGTTTCCCTTTCATTTAGAATCCCTAAGATAATTATGTACACAGCATATCCAGTCACCTACTGTATACTATGGCATCACACCCCATTCAGATTTCTCCTGCACATTTTTTGCAGATCACAAAACATAGATTCTGAAAAAAGATTCTAGGAAACAGGAACTTCAGTGTCATTAGAATAGCAGAGACCACATGCAGTAGAGGAAATACAACTGGAAGAACATAAAAGGGCCCTGAACCAGAACTAGCATGCCACACATGAAGTGTAATTACTGTAACCACCATACATGCCAAAGTTGGGGGGGGGGGAAAGGGGTATACTTTGTTGTTGTTAATTTGGAGTGAAGAGCCTCTTCCTGTATCAGAGAATCACACATTGCTAATCAACCAGTTATGACATTAGTTTTAAAAAAAATTAGAGGGGCACCGAAATGAAAAAAAATGTCAAACCGAAAATGTTTTTTTTTTCTTTCACATTTTTACAAATATTTTATAAGCTTTTACATTTTTTATATTTTATTTTTTACTTTACTTTTATTAGGGCCATTGGGGAAATATTAGGGGTCTAAACACCTTAAAATTTCCTTTTTAAAATAGAAGAGTCCTCAATCTCTTTTTCTGCAGCCCCTGTTATAAATGAACAGGAATCCTCTATACTGAGTGTTGCTGTTCAATCATAACATGAGAACATTGTGTTTACTATATCCACAATCATGAATGAACAAGAGGTGATGTAGATCACTTCCCATTCATTCATAATTAAGGACATAATTAAGGACAGAGCATGTTTACTATGTGCAAACACTACCTGCTCTCCTTCCTGACGTGTCACAGGAGGTTCGATAGGGTGGTGAGATAGATCTGGCAGCTGACTCCTCCCCTGCCCCACCGGCCGGCCTCCTGTGACAGCACTGGCTGTATCTGCCACACCACCGCTCTCTTCTGATCTGTGACAGGAGACTGAGTGGTTCTTTTAAAAGCATAGGGATACGACTCCTGTTCCTCAGGACCTGGGCTTCAACAGGCAGGCCATTAAAGCCAGTGGCCAAGAATTAGGGTGGTAAACTGGTCCTTGAGATAGAAAATCAGCCTGAACCAGGAGCGTTTATTCAGAATCTGACAAGGTCCGGGTACTATGTCTTCCTGGGTCAATATGGGGTGATGCCAATCCCGGGAAAGCCTTCCACCTCAATTCTGCAGCACAGGCAAGAAAGGAGTTGCAGAGGAGGGAAGGTGTAGATCAGACTGGTGTCACTAAAGCATCTATGAAAGCTAGAGTATCCCTGAAAACTGGAGATGAACATGGCCAGTGTTTTGTTGAACCCACACACTTGCCTGATGGTACAGACCAGGGATTGGAAGTATTTACCTTTGTGTATGTATATATATTTATTTGGGGGCCAATTTGTTTGTGCTGGACGCAGCACAAACCTATTGCCAGCTGTCACTCACGCAGCTGGGCGGATCTCGACATCGATGTCGGGAACCGATGCGGCATCTCAGTATACCGCGAATTGTAGCTCGCGGTATACTGAGCTTAGGGTGATGTGAGGACGCTAGTTTGTGTCCTCCCGTTACCCTAAGGAGAACTATGGGGAAAAGCCCTGACCCCATAGTTCTCCTTTTAAGTGCACTTGATTTTTAATTTGATGAAACATTTTTGCCTTAGGAGTATTTAATATGTCTCTGTTCATGATGGGGTTGTGACATAACATGGATTAATACGTTATTGGAGAAGTGGTTTTGCTGTTCAGTTGGTAGTGGACTAATGGATTTAAAGTTGAAATCTATATTAAAAGTGCTATTTGAGCTGTGTATATGCTTACAAGGTCACACTAGCTCCAATGAGTTTTCTGTTAGAAGGGTAACACAGTGGAGGTGGAAAGCACCAGCTGAAATTTGCTACAATAGTCTTTGGGGTATCACATTAACATCATATCTCACTGAATTTTATGAACCATTGTTATGAACTGTCATTGGTGTGGAATGGAAGAAGGATACACATACAGTACTGTGCAAAAGTTTTAGGCAGGTGTGAACAAATGCTGTAAAGTAAGAATGTTTTCAGAAATAAAAGTGTTAGTTTATATTTATCAATTAACAAAATGGAAAGTAAATAAACAGAAGTGAAATCCAAATTAATATTTGGTGTGACCACCCCCTGCCTTCAAAACAGCATCAATTCTTCTAGGTACACTTGTACACATTCCAAACATGTTGGAGAACTAACCACAGATCTGTGTACGTAGACTGCGTCAAATCTTTCTGTCTCTTCATGTAATCCCAGACTTGACGATATTGAGATCAGGACTCTGTGGGGGCCAAACCATTACTTCCAGGACTCCTTGTTCTTCTTTACACATAAATTTGGGGCCAATCACACACCTCCCTGATGGAATGGCATGATGGATAAGTATCTGCTTGTATTTCTCAGCATTGAGGACATCATTGATCCTGACCTCCACCATGCTTTTTGGAAACTGCAGTTTCCTTTTCTAGCCTATAGGTGTCAGATTAGCACTTTTGACATAGCTTCCTTATTCATAAAGAAACAGGAAATGGACAAATGCAACCTGCATCGGTGGCTTTACACCCATTTGGCACTGATCTCCATTGATTCATATTTTATGACTCATGAAACACAGTATATTATTAATGTAATTCTGATTATATGTACACTGAACTACAACTAATGTCTACAATTTACATAACTAGTACACACAATTTAAGTTGCATCTTATTAGTTGCTGAGCAATGGTTTACATTTTCCACATGCACAGTATAATGCTCACTGCAGATATAAAAACTAGCTAAAGATTACTGCCATGACTTACCCCTTACATTTTTGACAGTCAGATGTATTAGTAAAAAGCTGAAGCCTCTAACTCTATTTGACACAGCCAAGCTACATGTTACGTAACGTAGAGGAATAGAACTATCCTAGTATGTGCCGTCACTCGTCAAATTCTATCATTTGGAAAATAGGTCACCAGCAAATTGGTTTCAAACTCCTATGACATAATTCATACATGACATTAAAAGGTAACACACCTAGATATGACCCCCAAAATAACTTCTTGTAAATAGACTTAAGTAATAAACCTTAAATTAATTTTATTTCTGATATCACCAGGACACTTTTTTTTTGATAGATGACCTATAGATTTTACAAAAGGATTAAAGAATTCCCTTACCTGAAAAGCTATATTATATATAACACGTTCTCAAACAATTCATCCCCACACAGCTAACAACTCATGTATCACTTCTCCCTGCCTTTTAGATTGTGAGCCCTCCTTACCATCTTGTCTTGAATTGTACTGTGATTGTAATGTCTTCCTTATATTGTAAAGCGCTGTGCAAACTATTGGCGCTATATAAATCCTGTATAATAATAATACTATTATAATTAAAAGCTTTAGGGTTCCACTATAACTCTGTTCTGATTACCAGCAGAATCTGTTAGTTGTGGGCAACAGTTATCTAAATGAGACCTGAAACCTCTTATATTTAAAGAAAAATATGCTGACTTGGCCCTTTTCACATTCCCTTCATTACTTCCCTATACCTGATGCTGTCCCCTGCAGATTAACTGTGCTTCTTGTCTTCAAAGATGGTATTTCTGGGAATCTTCCACGACAGCAACCTGAAAGATGATTGGCTCTGCTTTAGGAAACAAAATTGTGAACAGTTAAAAAAAACAAAAAACTCCCAGCCCCTCTTCCCTCAGTTGAAATAAAAGTAGACTACCTCCACCCGCGCACAAAGGAAATCATAACCAGAAAAAAATTTAAAAAAATAAACGAGATAAAGCAGCCCAGGGTGGGATGTACCGGTAAGTCTAAAGGTGCCCATACACCTTACAATTATGTGCAGATTTTCTGTGGTCAGATGGAAAAAATGCAACAGATTGGCCCAGGTGGCGGTTACTCCATCCACACAGTTAAGTGTAGATGGAGGAATCTGTTGCACCTTTTCCATCTGACCACAGAAAATCTGCAGATCATTGTAAGGTGTATGGCCAGCTTAACAAGGAATTTTCCCAATCATCTTCAAGGACAAATCGGAAAGACTAAACAAGTACCCCAAACACAAGCCTACCTCATTAGGGCGGGACTATTACCTGTAGAACATTTCTGGCATTTCTTCCTGGGACAGGACTTCGACTCTAATGTTTGATAAGTGTCCTGTCTGGACCAAACCACTGCTCTGCAGCTTTGTCCCAGCCTTCTCTACCCAGGAAGTCGCCATAGACCTAGTAGTATGCACTCTAACGGACGCTGGCAAATCAAAACCCTCTGTCTTGTAAAAATGAAAAAATGGTCTGCCTAATCCTTCTAGCAATGGAAGCGCTTGAGGCCTGAAAACCTTTTTTCACATAAAAAAAATTTTTTTAAAAATGACTAGACTATCTGAAAGATCTCATAGCTTCTACATATCTAAGAAGGCAATACCTAACATCCAGAGTATGAAAAACCTCCTCTCAGATCTTTTGCGTCATCACAAAAGGAGGGCAAAATAATTTGCTGTGTTCTGTGAAATGCAAATACAAAGGGTCTGACCTAATAACAACCCTGTCTGGAAATACAGTAAGATAAGGATGCTTGTTGGATAAAAGCCTGAAGATCCTCCACTCTTCTAAAAAAAAAAAAAAAAAAAAAAAAAAAGAGAAAAAAAAACAATTTTCTAAAACA